CTCTCTCTCTCTCTCTCTCTCTCTCTCTCTCTCTCTCTCTCTCTCTCTCTCTCTTTCCTCCTTCTCCTAATCGTTTTAAATAAGTTAGTTGATCGCATTTTTAAGAACGAGAATCGAGAAAGGAAAAAATTTACGATGGGATATATATATATATATAGAGTCACTCGAGAAAATTTCAATAGCGAATAGCGAAAAGTTTTCTTATAAAATAAATTTTATAGCGATTTATCATCCAAAGATAACCGACTAATTTTTAATTCTAAACGTTTTTTTCGTTATATCGCTTCTAAAAAGCCACTTTTTAAATATTGATCAAAACAATTTCGATCGATATTTAAATCCAACCATATAATTACTCGTTTTACGAAATTTCTTGTTTTAGGAAATGCGAAAGTAGCCAAGTGTTCGTTAAAGATCATCACACTCACTGTATAGATACCTGTCGGCCCATTACGATGTGCGGCGAAGTTGTCGTACCCGAAGATCATCTCGACGTAAGAAATTAATTAATAACGGAGAAATTAATTATTCGATTGCTCTTTCATTCTCGTCGCGTTCGATATATTCGCGTATTCTTCCTGTATATTATAATATATACATGATATAGTTGAAAGTGAAAAATGAACGCGATGATCAGGTTTGTAGAACGTGTAACGCAACAGGGCATAATTGCGGTATAGCCGAAGGAAGCAAGGCAGGCCCCGGTATAGACGGAGCCGATTTTGTTTTCTACGTATCCGCGATGCAAACCGAAAGATGCCATAAAGGATTAACCGTGGCTTACGCGGCCCATTGCCAACAAGAAGCGGCATTGGACAGGTAATCGCATCGTTTTTTCGTTACAATCTCCAGAGATTCATGTTCCAACGATATTTCGATTCGATATTTTCTAGACCGATTGCTGGTCATGCCAATCTATGCCCGAAAAGCATAAGCACGAAGCCACAAGAGCTCGAAACTTTGCTAAGTACGGTAAAACACGAAATATTACACGCCTTGGGATTTTCCGTCAGTTTGTACGCCTTCTATCGGGATGAAAATGGAGAACCTAGAACTCCGAGAAGAAGCGACACGGGGAAACCATTCTTAAACGAAAAGTAAGCGATCTTGTATCCTTTTGTATCATCATCCAATCTTCATTTTTCGTTTTATTTGCTACTATTTTCGATATAACATTTCGTTTACGTCATATCGAATGTACATTATTATACGTTAAAATAATAAAATAATACATTGATCTGATCCGAAATGATTCCGATTCCGGCGAACGAGGATAGCTCGTTCTCGATTCGATAACGTCTCTTCGTCATTGTCGTTTCCTTTTCGCGGATAAATCTTTCCTGCCACTATCGCTTCTATCCGAATCAACGAATCGTAACGAGCCAAATTCCGGTCTTGTCCAACACTTTATCTCTCTTTTCTCTCTTTTCGATATTCCTTTTATGTACTATTACGTATACACTTCAATCACGTTCTCCTCTTCCGTCGATAGAGATATCTTCCGGTTTTCACCCTTGTCATATTTCCACCGATTCGTCCGAGAAAAAATGTAAAAAAAAACGTTCGTATTTTCTTCTAGTCTCGCGTCCAAATCGCCATCCTTTCATATCGTGTATCGAATCGAATGCTTTTTTCTTATACGTTCAATTTTCGTTATATATACATATACGTGATATCAGGTTACAAACGCATCAATGGAGTGAAAACACGATTCGAACCGTGGTCAGGCCATATTGGCAAGTGCATGGAGGCTACGTAGAAAGATCGATACAAATGATAGTGACACCGAGAGTTCGTGCCGAAGTTCAAGCTCACTTCAATTGTCCGGAGCTGGAAGGCGCGGAGCTAGAGGATCAGGGGGAAGATGGCACGGCATTGACACATTGGGAAAAAAGAGTGTTCGAGGTAAATCGTTACAAATACGATACGATAACGATCATCCTTGAATCGTTTTATCGAATTCGACGAACGGTATTCGCGACGCGTAATTAAACAGTTTTTAAAATGTAAC